AAAATTAAAAAAAGAAACTCCCTTTTACTCATCTCTAATGATTAATGAAATTATTACTGCAAAAAAAAAAAGTAAAAAGAAATAAGTTCTTTTTCGAAAAAAAAAAAGCATCTAGTGTAGTGTAGCAGAAATTACTACAAGTGAAGTAAATTAAAGATGATTGTTTTGTTTTGGACATAAGTTTAATTCCAATTAAATAATGAAGTTTGTCTAACAGGAATCCGTATCAGATCCCGAATCTGATTGCAACTCAGCTGGCCTCACTCTGTTGGGATTGGCTTCCAAGGGGGGAAGTCCATCATCATCACTGGAATCAATCTTTTCTGCCTCTGCCTCTGCCTCTGCCTCTGCCTCCCTTGTGTGTTTCTGCGCATTTCCTTCCCGGTCTGATAATTTAAAAGCTTCTGGCCTGTATACGCAATAATTAAAAAAAAAAAAATGTAATAAAACACAAGACCAAGAAATAAGGATCTGATCCTTTCCTCTTTAATGCAATTCCATTACATAACTCCACTACTTGCATATCTTAAAAGCTATGTAGTGTATATACCCCCTTGAAAAGGAACTAGATAAAAACAACACAGAAGTAACATTACACCTTTGCAAAAACTAAATGACTAGCATCGGGATTGGGTTCAGTTCAGGATTAGGATCTGATCCAGGGAAAAAATCCGATAAATGGTTTGACATGGGCTACTAACGTGCTGGTAATTAGAGAAAAAGAACAGCGCCACAGATTTGAGAGCACAATCAGATCTAGGGTTCCTAACCAATCTCACTAAAGTAGTAATAATTGAAATAAAGCTAAGCATATAATTAGGTTTCTTGCCAACATCAACAAGTTTGCCTCAATATTCAAATTTCTAGTGATAAGATAACACTGGGTTCCCAACAAACCAACTATCTGAAGAGAAACTATTCAAAATATTTAAACATTTGCAACTTCAGAAATGTAAGGATGGATAACACACCATTCTGGAGATTTCCGTAGAAGACGAACTTGTTCATGGAACAGAACTTGAGAAACAATACATGCCACCTTGCTCCCTGACTCAAGGACTTTTTCTTTGCCACTTTCATCAACCACAACAAAACTCCCTAGAAAAATAAAAAGCAATCGGAAGAAGTTAAAAGCAAAGAAATTTAAAACTATACATAATATCATCAGAGAATTCATAACTACATTATTGGTTTTTAGGTTCCCGCAGTGCCAGTGATTCAAAACAAGAATATTACTCACAGTTTGCAAACTACCTAGAAAGAAAAAGGGCCAGCATGTAGATAGCATGAATTGAGCTATAGCATTCTAACATTGATTGCTTTATCCCTGGTGATTATCTAGATGTATGCTTCAATACTGGATTTGAGAGAAACTCAGATTACAATGCCATGGACAACAGGCTTTTCGTATTCTTTTAAACAAAAGAACATAATAAAACTCAAACAGATTAGAAAAATAGACACATGATTCTTATGGTCAGAAAGAAAAAGAAAAACATCAAACCTCTTTTTATCCACATGCTCTTTTGAAACTTAGCTGGAAACAATGCCAGTGATTTCTCCCTCTGAGCATCCATCACCTTAACAAAAAGGAATGAGAAGGTTTAGAATCTGAAGTAACCTGATTTTAACAAAACCGTTGCTCTGGGGCAATGGGTACCTCAATAAGATTGGATCCCCTTAGTGACACCACCTGCATAATGCTTTGCCCATCTCCAAGGGTCAAGTTCTGCTCCTGGGCCGCCCTCTTAAGGTTTTTTCTCCCTCCTTTCATTGCCATCTTTTTGCTTAAATTGTGTTGATGACCACTTAAAATTCAAAAGTATTGAAAACTAAGTGTGAAAATGCGAAAACAAGTCTTCACCGCTTGCTGAAATTATAAGGTGGAACAAATCACCTCAAAACATGATCTGCACATAGATTCGGAGTCCAGGAGTATGGTTAGGCATGGCACAGTTACACACTTTAATTTGGGGATAAATCAACAAACAAACAAGCAAACAAATCATTTTATTGTTATTATTATTATTATTTTATACTTTTCATTTCTTTTAGCATTTTTTGTATTATTTTTAAAGTCTTTTATTCGAATCTTGCATTTATAAACTCCTAGAATTTTTACCTTTAAATTCCCATAGACAAACTCATGTTAAGGCATGGAAAAAATGAGAATGACAAATTTGTAGGAAATGAATTAGTAATATGATGATGAGATTGATCAAACTACAAATCCCAATTAGCTAAGAAATGGAGGAACAAAAGTGAAATCCAAAGAAAGAAACAATAATTCATGAAATTCAAAAGCCTCACTACTCTCATTCATAGCAAATTATATCCAATATGGAGCACACAATAACAGAGAAAAAAAGACCCAATCAAATCACCGTAGATTTAGCAATAAATACATAAAATATACAAAATAAAGCATGAGACTAGGAATACCCAAAAATGACGTTCCAGCTCAGGTGACTGGAGCAACAAGTGATTCCAATAGCTGAGATTTTCAGCTGTGGCTTCTCCTCTTCTCTGCTCTGGTCTTTTGAATTCCACCTACTTGGGCAGCTAATTTGCAGAGGATCTCAACTCCTCTCACAGTCAAGAATCCCTTTGATAGTTGGTTTCTCGGCTAATTTTTCCACTGATTTTTCTCTCTTTTTTTCTTTTCAGATTCCGTCGGCGGTGAAGGGTGGCTGAACAGCGGAGTGTATGGTGGATCGGTGTTGAGGACAGAAAAGAAAGGGGTTGGAGACGAGATGATGGTGATAAGAGCAGAACAGCGGCACGGTAGGAGGGGAAGAGTGTGCGGCAGATGATGGTTGTGCGATCGGAGATGTGAGAAAGGATGGAGAGATGGAGGGTATGGCGATACGTAGAGAAGGGGAGACGGGAATGGGTGGCGGCGGCTGTGATCAAATGACACAGAATTGGAGAGGGTAGGTGTGAGTTCTGAGTGGGCTTCAGATGACAAACGGATGTGGGCTTATCTTTGGGTCAACTTTTTTAACTTGATTTTCTGATGGGTTTTGGTGGTGTTCTTGTTGTGGCCTGGCCTGGCCTGGCCTGTGGGTTTACTAGACTTTGGTCTTGGCCTGTTTCTCTCCTTTTCATTTTATCCTTTTAATTTTTTTTTTTTGAGAAGTGATATATATATCTTATATTTTTCTTCTCCAATTTTGTTATTTGTTGTCCATGTTCTTCAATTGAATCCTTTTCTTCTTTTCCTTTCTTTTTGCTATATTCTCTTGCAAACGAGTTCTAAAACAAAACAAATACCTAGAAGTAAATTAGCATAAAATTCATTTGAAGGTAATTTTATCAAATTTTTTTTAATTTTTGTTTTGTCTTTAAACTTTTATTGTTTTTAACTTACTTTTGAAATTTTCTATAAAATAATAAAAAAATATTTTATATTTTGTCATCTAAAATGTATTAAATTACATAATATAAACTAATAAATAAATAAAAATAGTGCTTATCAGCTTTACTTCTTAAAAATTAGGAGGAAAATTATCTTAAAACTATATCGTTTCAATAAATAACTATTGAAAAAAACTAAAATACTTTATTTTTAAAGCATGCATTAAGATATTTTTTTTTTCTTTTAATTTTTTGAAAATAAGACGAAGCACTAATCCCTAAATAAATAATATGTCTTTTGATATTAAATCTCCCCTCATCCATCCAAGATTCTCTATTTTATAATTTGAAATAGTTCATACAATTATATAATAGATTTTCAAAATAAAATATAAAAATAAATATAAATAAATAACTCAAAAATCAAACAAATTTATTTTTGAAATAAAAATAAATTAATACATATTAAAAAAAAAAACCCATAAAACTTAAGACGCACGAAAAGCGATTCTCACCGTCCAAAGGTTTTAATCACTGAGTCGCACCAGGCTGATAAAAATCAAACAAACTTTAACCCGTAACGGTGTCACCCCAATAAATAACGGACCAAGTCCAATGGAAGACAAACTCTGTGTTATTTCCTCAACTCAACTAATTATAGCACTGCAGAAGGGAAAAGGGATAAGGAACTAGGGAGAGTGAAGTTAGCGGCTTTAGCTACTCGCAAGGGGCGCGTGATTTGCGGGCGCCCTGTTCTTCATTGGATTGGGAGTCTCAGCATTCAGCAAAAATTGCGAAAATCAGTCAGGTTCATCATCATCATCATCAGGTTCAAAACCAAATCCTCTCTTTATTGCTTGCTGCTTCATTCCAAATTCCGAATTCCAAATTGTAGTATTTGGTGTTCATCGATTCGTTTTCCATTTTAACATAAGCATTTACTACTTTAGTTCGTGTTTTTGGTTAATTATAACATGTCTTTAGATTTTCTGGGTCGGTTGCGGGTTGGGCAATGAGAGAACTGAAGTTGCTTATATGTATAATATATATGTTGATTGATGAAGCTGCTAAGTTACGTCTATGGTGATATTCAAGTTTTTCTATTTTCTCTTTAGTGATGGGTAGAAAAAAGCAAGCCAATCCTCGAAGATCAGGGGGTTTACTAATACACAGCAATGGCAGTAGTGACCCTGTGTTGGGCAAACACGAAGAACCCAACAACGTTCAAAATGAAAGGGAGGAACTTGTCAGTGCAGAACCTCCCTTTTTTGTGGAGGTTGATAGGACTTGTTTTCTCTCTAATGACCACCTCGATATATCTGAAGTTGTTCTCACTGATTTGAATTGGAGGGAAGGTTTTACTTGTTCTGGAATCAGTGAGGACTTCTACCAGGACTCTGCGTATTCCTTAAGGTTTCGAGTGCTTAACATTAATCAGTTCACTGGTCGTATTAAGCTGGGGCATTGGCCTATCTTATCTTCTGCTGATGTATCTTTGGAATTCATACACAAAAGCACTTCTGATGGTGTAGACATGCATTCAGTTATTTTATCAGGGGGTTTTGATGGTCCAGATGAAGCTATTTCTGGTCTTGTTCACTTAGCAAGTTTGAAATTTCTCACTTTGAGGCCAGTTTTTGGGGCTATGGTCTCACAAGCTTCTTCATCTTTTAGAGTGAGGGTTGAGATACTAAGGAGTGTTTTTGATGACTGCAATTCACTTTTGGAGAATACTAGGCAGCTATGGAAAAAGAGTATGATGAATGTCATGGCATGGCTGCGCCCTGAAGTACTTACTTCTGAGGCTCGCTATGGAATAAGTAAATCAATGAAAATGGAAGTTGATTTACATCCAGAGATGGAGGATGGTACTTCTCGACCCAGGAAACGTGTAAGATTTGATGTATCTGGGTTTTATGAGGCCATAAAACCATCCAAGTGAGTGAATTTACACCCATCATTTTAAAATTATCGTATTATATAGTTATAAAGTTTCTGCCTCAATGCTGGAATTCAACAACTGGAAATATGTTCTATGCAGGGAGAACCCAATACTTGAAGATGACACTCCTAATTTGCTCCCTGTACTAAGACCCTATCAACGCCGTGCAGCTTACTGGATGGTACAAAGAGAGAAGGGAAATCCAGGAATTGTGGACAAAACAGAATGGAGTCAGTTTCTTTCTCCTTTATGCATCCCTGTGGATTTTCTCGATGCTTCTTCAAAGATGTACTATAATCCATTCAGGTATAGTTTTCTGAATTTGGCATTGCACCTGGAGACAGCAAGTTTTGCTCTCCCCTCCATCCGTTCTCCCTTGCTTACCTTTGTTATGCTATCTTCAGTGGAAATGTTTCGCTGCACCCAGAGCCCGCTTCTCCCTATGTATTTGGTGGTATTCTGGCTGGTAAGTTGGTATTTTTCTCTTCTATTCATTCTCTTACTATTTTAAACTACTAAGGTCTGTTAGGTATCTGCAAATCTAATGTCACTCTACTTGCTTTGGCTGTGATCATTAAAATAGATGAGATGGGTTTGGGGAAAACTGTTGAGCTGCTTGCTTGTGTGTTTGCTCATCGGAAGCCACAGTCTGAAGATGGCATGTTAAGTGATACCACAGCACAAGCTAATGGGGATGGAAAAGTCAGTCTCAAAAGATTAAAGAGGGAACGTGTTGAGTGCATATGTGGCGCTGTGAGTGAAAGTCGAAAATACAAAGGATTATGGGTACAGTGTGATGTTTGTGATGCTTGGCAACATGCAGAGTGTGTTGGTTATTCACCTAGAGGAAAAGCCAACAAAACCAATGAGATAGCTGACGAGCACGGGCAGGAGCTGAAGTCATCAGTTAAATCACACAAGCGGACAAGAAAAAAGGATGACACCTATATTGTTGTCAGAGATGGGGACTATATTTGTCAGCCATGTTCAGAACTGCTACAAGCTACTGACTCTCCCATCCCTACAGGTGCCACTCTTATAGTCTGTCCAGCACCTATATTATCCCAATGGCATGCAGAGATTATACGGTATAAATCTTGCTCAAGAATCTTTCATGTGTTTGCATATTTCAGTATCCTTAGGTGTGCAGTAGAGTTGATTTGGCATTATATTGGTTGCATGTAGGTGCCTTTGATTGTTAATAAAAATATTAAATCATATAATTGTCTGATGATTGAAAGTCTAAAAAGTTTCTTCTCATGTGAGTTACTGGGGTAGAGGGATTCCTAAGCATGAGATGTAATAGCTATATTTTCCTAATGGTCACAAATTTGTTTCTAGAGGACTTTGTTGTGATCCAAATGCTATTTTTACATATAGAAGAAAGTTAGCTGTTTGTAATACTAAGAATGATATGCTCTCTAATGTCTCGTTATAGACTGGCCTTCCAGATATAGCTATTTCTAAAAGGTCTGTTGGTCAATATGAGAAGGCTAGCTGCCATGGCCTTGAACCTGGTCTGAGAAATTTTATAGGACAGGGTGGCCATTTTGGATAGGACTCTTTCATTTGATGAATTTTCTCAAGAAAATTACAAGTTTGAGAGTTCAAATTGAACCATAGTATTGTTACTGTGTTTGAATCTTTTCTTTAAGTTTTACTTTCATATTTGTATCATTGGTTTGCTTTCACTCTCTGGATGAAGAAATTAAAATTGTTTAGATAAATAGTTCTTAATTATGTTTGAACCTATTTTAATTTGCTTGTTATATACATGTCCACAAGATCATTTTTAAATTGCTGTTACTGCATGGATTTTGTTCTGATGTATCAAATTATGGTACTAATAGTTTAAATTTTAATGTCATCATTATCCTAGTCATACACGTCCAGGTTCCTTAAAAACTTATGTCTATGAAGGCGTGCGGATCTCTTCACTTTCAAGTACATCTGTAGCAGATATAAGTGAACTTGTCAGTGCTGACATTGTATTAACAACATATGATGTGCTTAAAGAAGACCTCTCACACGATTCTGATAGGCGGGAAGGTGATCGACACTTCTTGAGATTCCAGAAGAGGTTCCTTCTAAACTTGTATTTCTTGATTTTTGATTTTTGATTTTTGATTTTTGTTAGTATTGACCTTTTACCTCAAATACAGGTTAATATCTCATGTTGAAAGCAGCCCTCAGGCTGCTTAAAGAACCCTTTTTCCTTCTTGCTCACTCTCTCTCAAAATAACTATTGTTTTTTTACTTTAAATTTGTCCCAAATTAATTATCCCTTTTTATTTTTTTAAGGTAGACAAATATTTTTTTCCTACTTTAACCCTAGTGTTATCCTTTCACTTTATTTATTATCCTATCACAAAAATTCTCTCTTTATTTGAGTAAAGGTGTAAACAAGGATGTTAACTTTGCACTTTTTTCTATTTAAGGATGTCAACTTTGTCAGTTTCTAAATAAAGATGCTAATTTTCAACCTTTTCTAATTAAGGATACCAACTTTCAACTTTTTATATTTAAGGATGCCAACTTTTAACATTCTAGTAAAAAAATACGTTAGCCATGTCAGCATCACCATCCAATTAATCCTTAAATAGAAAAAGTTGAAAATTGGTATCCTTAAATAGAAAAGTTAAAGTTGGCATTGTTAAATAGAAAAAGTTGAAAGTTGGCATTCTTATTTAGAAATTAACAAAGCTAACATCCTTAAATAGAAAAAGGTGCAAAGTTGACATCCCTATTTGCACCCTTTCTCCTCTTTTTATCTTTTATTTCTTTTTCAAGGGTAATATAGGTAAACCTATAAATATAAATTATCCCCAAATCCTTGGAGAAAAAGTCAAAAAACAACATTTATTTCTGGGTAGAGAGAGTATATCATAAAATACTTAATTTAAAAGTTCCTAGGTTCATCTTTTCTGTATGGCATACTCCAAATTTAAATTCTTTTTTAATCATGATTACTCCCCATCATTGTTGTAGGTACCCTGTCATTCCTACTCTTCTAACCAGAGTATTTTGGTGGAGGGTTTGTTTGGATGAGGCTCAAATGGTGGAGAGTAATACTGCTTCTGCCACAGAAATGGCTTTGAGATTATATGCTAAACATCGCTGGTGCATCACAGGAACTCCAATACAGCGCAAACTTGATGACTTGTATGGACTTTTAAGATTTCTTAAAGCAAGTCCCTTCAATGTTTCTAGGTGGTGGGTAGAAGTTATACGAGATCCATATGAGGTATGAGGTTGTCAAACTTTTGATGTCAAAGTATTTGTGAAGGATTTTAGATCTATAATTAGACACTTAAAATCTGGCAAATTTTTATAACTGTAAATAGTATTTCTTGGTGTTATTATTATTGATGATATTATAATTTTGTTGTTCGTTTCTCCTTTTTCAGAGGAGAGATGGCAGAGCTGTGGAATTTACTCATAATTTTTTTAAACAAATCATGTGGCGTTCTTCAAAAATACATGTTGCAGATGAGTTGCAGCTTCCCCCTCAGGAGGAGTGCCTCTCTTGGCTAACTTTTTCACCAATTGAAGAACATTTTTATCAGAGGCAACATGAAACTTGTGTGAGTTATGCCCGTGAAGTTATTGAAAGTTTGAAAGATGATATCATGAAAAGAGAAGTCTCAGGTTGTTTGTTTTGCTGTGATATTTATCGAGGAAATATACCTCTTACAATTAGAGAGAAATTTTTATGTCTTACCTATTCTTCCCTACTACTTCCTTTAGGTACCAGTTCTTCCATTTCTTCTTTTGATCATTTCATCACTGACATGGAGGCCGCAAAGTTGCTGAGCTCACTCTTGAAGCTTCGCCAGGCCTGCTGTCATCCTCAAGTGGGAAGCTTTGGGTTGCGTTCTTTGCAACAGGCCCCAATGACTATGGATGAAATATTGAAGGTCTGTAAAATGAGTAATGTGTCATCAAATTTATTAGAAAGGGCCTTATCTGTACATTCTGTTAAGAGGGATCTTTGTTTTTATAGGTTCTTATAAGTAAGACCAAGGTAGAAGGGGAGGAAGCTCTCAGGAAGTTGGTTAGTTCTTTAAATGGGCTTGCTGGAATAGCTTTAATACAGAAAGATCTTCCTCAAGCAGTATCATTGTACAATGAAGCTCTAGATATAACTCAAGAGAACTCTGAAGATTTTCGCTTGGACCCTTTATTAAATATTCACATACATCACAATCTAGCTGAAATACTTCAGGAGATTGCAAACTCAACCAAGCCACCCCACTCAGGGATACAACAGTTCTCTGGGAGCATCCATATCAATGAACAGTGTAATCAAAATACTGCTAAGAGGAAAAAACTGTGTGGTGAACAGAATCTAGATTCTCTTGATGAGACAGAGAATCAACCAGCTCATGTATTTGACGTATCAGAGAATGGTTTAAATGGTGTCCAAGATTGTAATGATCAATTCCATATGTCACCCAAGCCCTTCAATGCTGTATCTTTGAAAATTACATGCGAGAATTTAAAACAGAAGTACTTATCCACATTTACTGCAAAATTATCTGCTGCTCAACAAGAATTCAGCAAATCATGCATGCAGGTATATCTCCCTTTGGTCTTTTGAATAGCACTTTGGTCTTTGATACATGATAAACTTCACTCAGGATACATTGCATCCCTATTCCGTTTTTTCTTGATGCTGAATAATTTCTAAAGTCTAACTCATTTTTCAATATTACCTTATTTTCTGCACCACTGATTTATTTAGAAACCATTGCAAATTACAAGTTTTTATGTCTTTGCAGGTAAGCAATGCAGTTAGTCAAATCAAAGATCAAGACAGAGTTTGGTGGTTGGAAGCTCTTCACCATGCTGAGCAGAACAGTGACTTCTCTAAAGAGTTGATCAGAAAGATTGAAGAATCTATCTCAGGATCACTGAAGAATTCACGTTCATCAAAAATGACTTCTCGGTCTGTATCACTCTTAGCTTTCAACGTTACATCTCCTGAACAAGCCACCAATGTGTAGATTTTACTGTTCTTTTGTTCTTTCAAAGATTTCTTGTGAATACTTATTTTTGTCTCAAAAGTTTTAAATCCATGCACACATTTTTCTTCCTCAAAATAATCTCTTATCTTTGCTGGGATTTTACGTTAGTTGGGTTATAATAACTAACCCCAAGTATATGGAATCTTATTTAGCAAATATTAAGGTAGATATTGGGAGGTTGTTTGGAATTCCTGGGTAAAAGGTCCTGAGATCAATTTTACTTTGGTATCGCAAAGTTTTATACACAGTAGAAAAGGATTGTAGGATTGTATCCATAGAACTATAGCAACTTTGATTTCTCTCATTTTTATGAAAAAGGTCTGTGATTGCAAGTGGTCAATTCCTCATGGGCTATCTAATTATGAGATTTGAATGGTAATTAGTCTTTTCTTCTTCAGGAAGCAAAGATGTAAATCTATCACTGAGAGTTTCTGATGGAATATAAGTGATAAAGTTAACTTTGGTTGAGTTCCATTTTGCATGATATTTATTAACTTTATTGCTTTGAAGCCAGATTTCGGAGCATAACTGGTCTGAAATATCATATCCAGACTGGTTTAGATCTTCTTGAAGCCTCAAGGAAAACATTACTTGATCGCATTCAAGAAATTGACGAAACAATGGAAAACCCAAAAGAGGAGGATATCAAACGTGTAAGATACTGCCGAAGTTGCCAGGTTGTTGGCAATGGCCCCATGTGTGTTCATTGTGAACTAGATGAATTGTTTCAGGTCTGCTTCAGAACTTAATCTTTGATGCTGGACCATAGAATTAAAAACCATTTTACATTTTCTCATCCATAACATCTTTCCTAGGATTATGAAGCAAGGCTCTTTCGTGTAAATAAATCTGATGGAGAGATGGTTAAATCTGCTGAAGAGGCAGTAGATTTGTGGAAGAAGAACTCTGCCCTCAATCGTTTCTATTGGAATTTATCACAGAAAAATAAGAATTCAGCTTCCTCAAGTGTTGATAATGAAGATTTGAAGAGAGATGTTGGAGAGAAAGTGGTGGTAAGTTTCCTTTATCTCATCTACATTTTTCCTTGGAGGTAATTGTGTTTATTTCTTCATTGTCTCATGTTAATGAGCTTGACTCTACTGCTGAAGAAGTTCTTGAACAATAGGTTTCTATTGTGATTGTTGATTCTTTTAAATTTATTTTGAGCCCCATCACTGACTGAGATTTGTATCCAAATTCATTGATGACTTTGGACCTTAGATTAAGATAGTGACAGTAATCAAAATCCCAGTGATTGCATCATTCAGTTGGTCCTTCTTATTCTTCTTGTCTCCTCTTCATTTATTCTTCATTAAGTCTGTCCTTGTTCACTTCTGGTATTCAATCTTGATATGTTGAAATAAACAGGAGCCAAAGCTAAACAGCCAAAACTGAGTTCTTCAGAAACTAATTCTTCTTGCATTAGGAGATGAAACGTTTTCTTGAACCTTCCCATTAGGCCCTATGTTGTTAAATTCTGTTTGATTGCATGAATGCAAACTGCAACCTGTCAGCCTCCGTTATCCCCTTGTTCTAAAACCCTAGTTATGTTTTTACTAGGATGCATTGGCATCAAATGTTATGAACTAACATATCTTGCTGGGGGACTGGTGTGTTTTCATCATATTTCTGAAATTACTTAGTTTACATTCAGAGAATTGGCAGGATTGTTAAGTAATGTGTGGTATTCCTATTTGGTATGCCAATCATTGACAGGTTTCAAAATCTCCCTCTGAGTTGGAGGTTGCTCTTGGAGTTATAAAGAGCTTTTGCAAGGTTCAGTTAGGGAGGGAGGGTACGTCAGCAGCCAACAAGCAGATTCACATTCTGGAGGTATTGTCTAATGAATCATTTTGTACTGGTACCACTGCTAAACTGAGACCATGGAAAGAAATTATAAGCATTACCATTTTCTCCTCACTGTGTGCACAAGCTAAATTTTCTCATGTTTGATGAGCTCTTTTTAATTTTGCTGCATGTATGGTATCATGGATTTTATTTAAATATTAAAATTTTCTTTTCCTTGCTTTTTTTCTTTTATTTGGTGAAGGGCATGAGAAAGGAGTATCGACATGCAAGACTGTTGGCTATTGCTCAAGCTCAAGTTCTCCGTGCTCATGATGAAATTAAGATGGCAACCACAAGATTGCGCCTAAGAGAAGATGAGAATGATACATCTATTGATGCTTTAAGTCCAACTGAATTAGATTCAGCTAATGTGGAGAACTCCAGTGAAAAGTTCATGTCTTCAACCTTGCTGTCAAGTATAAAAGGAAAACTTCGATATTTGAAGGTGTGATCAGAAGGCCTGCTGATTTAATATAATGAAAGATTATATTCCTCATTGTATACTGCAGTTAGGACTTTGGGCAGTCTCAATATCTTAGCATATGCAATATCTTTAGATATTTTTTTCTTCCTCTGTGGTATCTTCTTGGCAGGGCTCTTGATATGCTTTTTCCTCGAAGAAATAATAAAGCTAATCATCCATTTAATTAAACTTCTTACTCAGCTCATTGTATTGTAAATTATATTATTTCATTGCAGCCATTTTACTTAGTTTAAGTTTTTTCAGGGATTGGCATTATCCAAAAATAAATCATCAACGGGCTCAGATGATTCCTCAGTAACTCAAGATTTGGCTACTATGTCACCCTCTGCAGAGCAAAAACCTACATATTCAGTTAAAGTTAACGAGGAAGCATGCCCAATTTGTCAAGAAAAGCTAAGCACTCAAAAGATGGTTTTTCAATGTGGGCATATTACTTGCTGTAAATGTAAGTTTGCTTCACCTGTTCCATTCTGATTTCTAAGCTGGGATAAAAGTAATTTGCATGGAAAAGTATAATAAAAAATTTTAGAATTTATTCCTCCTAATGACTCCATTGAAACAACTTATTTTATTCTTATTACAAGGCAAGTTGAGGAAATTCACCATGCAATTAGCCATTACAAGTTTATTCATTGCCTCACTTTGCTAAACAGGAGCATGTTAGATGCTTGCAAATAGGATGAAATTCCTTGTTAATTGTTGGTAGCTGTGGTGAAGTGGTACTTTTTCTTGGATAGGTTTTCTGTTCTTATCTTAGTCATGGCCTATATAAAGTTAACTTGATAAGGCGTGAATGATGTAAATCTTACAAAAAACTGTGAATTCTAGTTTTCTTTCAAAATTTCCTTCACCCTTGCTTGGATGATGAATCTATTGGGATCTTCCATTTCTCCTCTTCAGGATGTCCAGTTTTCCAAACCATGGAATGTATTCATTTATGTTCTAAACCCTTTTTTCATTACCTCAAAATACCTTACTCAGGCGGTTGTCAGAACCTTTGCTGATAATATGTCTTATCCACAGCAAAGTACTAGCTTAATTTCTTTTCTGTTGCATGCTGTTTTCTTTAGGTTTCTTTGCAATGACAGAGCAGAGATTGCCTCATGACAATAAGTCTCAAAAAAAATGGGTAATGTGCCCAATATGCCGACAACATACGGATGTTGGAAATATTGCCTATATAGATGATAGAGAAACCAAAGTGTGCAATTCTGCTCTCCCTCCCACAAATCAAGGTGGGGAGGGTGAAGCATCTTTGATTGTTCAAGGTTCATATGGAACAAAGGTATGCTTTCTAGCTAATTATGCCTTAAATATGTGTACGGAGTAGAATTTATTTCTGGATATCCAACTTTTGTATATTATGCATATTTGTGAATGTAATGCTTTCTATCGAATCTTAGCAATCTAGTTGGCATTGCTTTGGGGTCGTGTCTACCCTTCCTACTCAATCTCCACTCTCCAGCACTATTTGTGCTTGTGAATTTCCGTGAGCACCCGTGTTTGTGAGTGTGTGTTTTGTGGCTGGATTATAAAAAGTTTTTCACTTAAAAATTCATCCTGTTCATGAATACTTAAACATTTATAACCCAATGATTTTCTACTTTGGAGGAAAAGGGAAAGAAGGCAAAAGAGGTGTATGGTCATTTATTCTATTTTCTTCTGCCTTGGAAAGTTTAAATGACTACTATCATGCTACATGTGAACTTTTTGTGGTTGCGTTGCAGATAGAAGCTGTCACAAGAAGGGTCTTATGGATCAAGTCTAGAGATGCCAAAGCTAAAGTTCTGGTTTTCTCAAGTTGGAATGATGTTCTTGATGTGTTAGAACACGCATTTGCTGCCAACAGTATTTCCTACATCAGAATGAAAGGTGGAAGGTGAGAGGATCTGCGAGCAGTTTTATATTTTCCAATAGTATTCCTGATTTTCATGCTATAAATTTACAAGTTAAAAGATTCCCAAAAAAGGGATTATTCACCCTATTATCAGGGTTGTTCCACAGAAACAGAAACTAATTGGACAATTGGTAACAATTTAATTTGACTCCTTTAATTTGCCAAAAACATGAAGTTTCAAAAACAAAAATGGAGAGATGGCTTGGTACATTCTTGGCTGTACCGTAATAGTTATGGCTCTGTAATTACAGGAAATCGCATGTTGCCATCAGTGAATTTAGAGGACAGAAAAGTGGAGTGAAAGTAACTCAAAAGATACATGGCAAGTATCAAGAACCAAACCATGTTCAAGTGTTATTGCTTTTAATCCAACATGGAGCAAATGGCCTGAATCTTTTAGAAGCACAGCATGTTATTCTTGTGGAACCATTGCTGAATCCAGCGGTGGAAGCACAAGCAATCAGCAGAGTCCACCGAATTGGACAGGAGAATAGGACCCTTGTTCATCGTTTCATGGTAAGTGCATATTTGTGTCAATGGAACTTTACATGTAGGTGTAGGTGTAGGTGTAGGTGCATGCGCATCTTTGTGCTGACTGATGTGGGTGTGGATGTTAGGTTAAGAACACGGTTGAAGAGAGTATACATAAACTGAACAGAAACAGGAATTCAGAATCATTCATCAGTGGGAACACCAAGAATCAGGATCAGCCAGTTCTGACACTGAAAGACATCGAATCCCTGTTTGCAGTAGTTCCTTTGGCTTCTGCAGCAGCAAAAACTAATGAAAGTGAGGACCTGAGACAATTACCTCCTTCAGTGGCGGCCGCAATTGCAGCTGAGAGGAGACTGAAGGAAAACACTACAGTGTGACAATTCTTTGGTACGTTCATCTGAATAAGCTCACACTCTTCAAATGAATGTGGCGACGAAGTTTGTGTAACCATGATAATTGGGTTCATGTTGTTGTAAATATGAAATTTGTATAACAACTGACCAAGTCTGTGCTTCAAATTACATAGGCTAATCAATTGATAGGGAATTAGGTTGTATATGCATAACCAATTTAAAACAACGTTAATTCTGTCAAAAATGTTTTGGACCACATCAATCATTGCATTTTTGTTCTTAGAATTTGGAATGTGGAATGCCTCCTGCTACTGTTCACATACACACACTGATACACAGCCAGTCTAACGTTACTGTAAAACTCTAACCT